CAATGTTAGCCTTAGTGTTAGTATTAAAAACTGTAAAAAAAATAAATTGTTAAAAATGGCTTGGCTATAATAGCCATATACAAACTATAAACTATATTTATTTATTAATATTTATTTAATTTTTAGCTATTTTGGGCAGATTTTTTTTAGTTTATTTGGATGAAATAAGTTTCTGTTGAAGTTAAAGTACCGCACTAGAGAAGGTTAAATTTCCTTTTTTTTACTAACGCCACTGCAGTTCAGTGATTTAAATGAATTCACCCATTGATATGTGTGTGGGCTTCAAATTGTGATTATATCATCTATCAACCAGTTTTACGTATAATTTGTTATTCTAGCTTCCTATTTAAGAAAGTAAATATGAAAAAGGTAGTATACAATAATTTAGGAGGTAAATAATTAACAAAAATGTTTTTTGTCATTTGAAAACCCAAACCAAAACCCACGATTTTTTTAATCAGTCACAATCCAATAACTTTATAGTAGTCATAAAAAATCCATTCAACTAAATTTTGACAATTCTTTGGACCACGGATCATAAACCAAACTCTATCCGCATTAATGTTTTATAGTTAAATAGATAGCGTTTTATAATTTTTAAGTGACATTTTGTTATTTTCTAATTTCGATAATGGTGCATAAGTCATAGGAGTTCAATGATGCTTTTCAGCGGACATAGGCTCGGTTTCCGGTGACATTTCAACTTAATGTATGCTTCAGGGGTCGAAAGATTCGCGACCTTTAGTTTACATTAAGTAAGCAAGACGGAAAATATAATGTTAGTTTTTGTTAATATAGATCATTTAATTCTCTACAAGAAAGGTTTTAACTTTTTTCGTAAAATTAGCAGTTATCGAAGAAATTTTAAATTCTTAAATTTATTACAAAATCAGACGTCTTACTATCAGTAACTATTTTAACAAATTTTAAATTAATACGATACAATATTTTATGTTTTTCTAATTGTCCCATAAATCATAGTGACGTTGATAACCTAAAAGTGCATACTTAAGAAGCGATAACAAAAAATAACATATGAATGAACTAATAGTTATTTTTATAGACATTTGAAATGTTTAACAATAATCTATGCAAATTGCAAAATTGTAAAATGTACCTATAGTTTTTGGGTTACTGGGCATTTAAGTAAAACTTGGCAACACTGTGTGTCTGATAAGCTAAAATATTACACTTCTAAAAGTTTGTGCCAAAAGATGAAAATTTAAATCAACATTACTTTATTGTATTGTATTTACAAGTTTTAATTTTTTATTTGTGAAACGTTATATAAAAATTGTTTTCTATCCTAATATACAAATAAATAGTCTTAAAACATTGAATAATAAAAATTAAATCAATTTTAAGAAACTTAAAATTCACAAAAAATGCATGCATTTTCGAATTAAAAACTTAACGGTCGTAATCTTTTTTGTAAACATAATTAAGCTGGTGCATTCAAACAGTCACATTTAATTAAATTTAAATTGGCTTGAAATTGTTACTTTAACGCCTGCATTATCTTTAAAAAGAAATTTAAACATCTTTTTCTTTAATTCTTGGAAATTAACAGTATTTATGATTAATAACACTAAACATTATACACTATAATATTTTGGACTAAAAGGCAGAAAACTTAAATATAAAACGATTGTTAATAACAAAAAAATAATTAATACATCTGGCAATACAATGATAAATGACTGCTTAATGAAATACTATAAATAAAAACATCAAAAAGGCAGCTCACATTACAAATTAAGTTATTAATGTATAATTTATGATATACCACCCACTATCTCGAAAGAATCAAAACCTTAATGATATGTTTTCAGGTATTATTTTTAACCTAAGGTAATTTGTAATGAGTTGATTAATAAATTAGGTAATAAGTTATAAAAAATATTGCTTATCATAAATCATATTCTTTTAAAAGGCCAGAAACAATCATTATAATTACACATGAGTATGAGTATGAGTATGAGTATGGGAACGTATGGCAGGCCCCAGATATATTATCCTCCACGATCTCCCGGGGATATTTTACCCCCTTTTCGTTCTCCTGCGTATCCCGCCAAATCACAGCATTACCTGTGTTTGTTGGATCCGAAGTTTTTACGCCGGCTGGTAGATCCACCCTAGGAGGTCGTGGAAGACAGTGTCAAAGGTTAAGGCCGCTCCCGGAATTTTTGTCAGCCGGGTCGGGCCATACGTCCAGTTTAGGAAGGGTTTTTGGAGGACATTGAACTGACCCAAAACTAAGTACAATCCGGAATCCTCCGCAACCTAGGCCTTAGTAGTAACCCCATTCAATTGGTATTCGTGAATGGGGGTGGGTATGTTAGTTCTTTGCTTACTCCGGCTACCAACCTTGTATACTCTTTATTTATTTTATAGCTAAATTAGTGTTTATACCGTTTTCATTTAATTTATATCTTTGCATTCTTACTTTTTTTCCAAATTTAATTTAAAAATATATTTTCATATATATATTATTTATATATATATTTATATATATTTATATATAAATATTAATATACAAAATCGGTAAGCCGGCCCTGTAGTGTATGTGGTGGAATGCCACCATGGTCTGCATTGGCTATTGGTCGTTCTTCTTTCTTCTGTGCTGTTCTTGTATTTTTAAGCCGGGGTGTTAGTGCGCTGCTGGAACCTGTCCTTGTTGGTGAACTATTTATTTTGTTGTTAAATTATTGTTTATACCGTTTATTATTATTTAATTTGTGTCTTTGCGTTCTTACTTTTTTTCCAAATTTAATTTAAAACTAAATTAATACTAATTAGATTAAGCCGGCCCTGTGGTGTATCGAATTAAAATTTGAAATACGGCCCTAGTGTCAGGCGTTTAACGTATGCTTTAATAGATGGTTTATTTACTTTATTTACGTGGGCGGTTTGTTTATTTACATTCGATCTTCTAGCTTTGCTTTGTGGCTGAGCCGTAAGTTGCGTATATTATAAAATATATATAATACAATAATATAATATTGTGATGTTCTTATTTGATTTTTTTTTACACACGTACGCTGTTTTCGGCAATGATTGTTGCCAGGTTTTTTTTTACAGATTTGCGTATTAGGTCATGCAATAATACTTATCACAGTCTGCTGGTAATGATGATGATCCCTTTCGCTCTTTGTTAGACTTGTTTTTTTCTTTAAATAGGTGATTCCTTGACCTGTCCCCTGTCACTTTATTATTTCGTGTCCGCACGAACCTCACTCCTATGTTCACCGTTGAGAGATTGCCTTTTGAGGAATTATTTAATGTTTCTATTAACCCCTCGGAGAACAGGTACCCTGATTTCACCTGTACAGGTATGTAGTAACCCAAAATAGTAGCACTGTTTCGCACCGTACTTTACTCGACTACACTGTATATAATAGTTACAGTCCGTTCAGGCTAAGTTGAGCGCTTTGGTGACCGTTGATTAAATTAAATATCTAATCCTCGCAAGATTTCGGTAACAAGAAGATGATTTATCAGTGCCGGGGCTTGCGGTTTGTTGGTACAGAGCCGCTACCGAAATACATGTATTTAATTGTGACTAAACATAGAGATGATGGACGGGGTGACATTCCTAAGACCGCTCAACTTAGCCTGAACGGACAGTATGTTTCTTTAAGAATTTTATTGTGGATCGGCACTACACATCCACTCGCTTCGCCGGTATCGACAGTACAATCATTATAATTACACATGTCTACAAAATTTTTAAACAGAAACATGGAAAAAAGCAGTCAATATATGAAGTTATATTACATAATAAGGTATTTTTTCTTCATAAAACTCGCCATCTAAAAGTACTACTTCTTAAAAATCCATTTGAATTTTTTGAATTTGAGAAAACGTTGAAATTGGTAAAAAAAATTGATTTATCGTTTTGATCATAAATTTCTAACTAACGATTTCTCGGAGAGGATAAAAGATATTGGAAAAATTTAGAATTTAAAGAGGAAGATTAGATGGTATTTGCATAGCGAGTTATGTGAAAAAAATATTTCGTGATGTAGAGACATTTTTTCATGCTTGACACACCCAGACTAGGCTGGTCTCGATTAACATTAGTTCACAATTTAATTAGTGGGTGGTTAATTTGACCCTTAAGATGCGTACCACGCTTCAAAATTGACACGCGTACGACTTAAGAAGGCTGCATTCTTTTGTTATTTTTTTCATGGCGCCAACCGAACGAACAAATTGCGGATGCAGCTCATTAGCGAATCGTTATCAATTCATGCATTAGTTTCTGCTCCTTATAAGTAGGTATGAGCTAATTTTATATAAAAACAATTAGGAGAAGTAAGTTTTTGTGTTAAATATTTTATTTCAATTTTTAAGATTAATACGCACTTTTTTTGAGACTATCTATATATTATACAGGGAAATAGAATAGATTAACTGTGTGAGGTCTGGTGATCCTGGTGGCCAACTAGGTACATACATTATTTTACTTGTAGAATACACTTACTGAAAAAAACAAAAAAGACATTTTTTATGTTTTCGCTATTGCCATAGAGGCATTTTGGGCCGCTAGTAGAACTTGTGCCCTATGGGCTTTAATGGCTGCATTACGGCTTAGAGATAAGCGAAACTGCATCAACATCACCAAATAAGTGGCCATAGACGTTACAGTCTAAAAAAAAGAAAAATATTATGTTCAAAAAAATAAACTGTACAGGGTGTTTCTTTATTGGATGGTAATACTGCATTAATGGGTTTAATCGTTCGCAACCACTTTATTTTGAAGAAATATATATATATATTTATATACATTGTTCAAATTGAAAAAGGGAAGAAAATTGAAAGAGGCATTTTTGTGACAAAAAGTGCAGTTTTTTATTAAAATACATATTTATTTCTGCAGCATTAAAACCCAGACTCAAAAACCGTATAATATCGTGTAATGACCTTCTTCTTCCCAACATAATAATCCCTTTATATATGGATACTTAATAAATAAAATGTCATATAAAGATCATCAATCATTTCGCCCATTGTTCAGTATAATCAAAAGAAAACAAGATACTCACCGACGTAATAAGTTTCCTGTTAATATTCGCGTACCCATTTAAATTCATAATTGGCGGATTTTTATCAATAGCAGTCAAAAACATGTTTACTTCCTCTCTAGTCCTCGAATCCACAGAACCTACAATTTGGGACTTTTAATTCTGCAGTGTGTAAATAAAGAATGTGTATTTGCACGCTAAATAGCTATATGTGGTTTTATTTCTTTAATTTCTTACCCAAATTGACATTTAAAAGTCGTTCTCTAAACTCCGGGCCCATTTTTCTCGAAGCGTGATGCGCTTCGTTGCAAATAACATAAAGCAGAGACATGCAATAGAAGGAGATAAGAAAGAGGCCAGCCTCTTTGAACGACAGGCCATGGTCCATTATCTCGGTTAAGGAGCCATAACTGGCGACAATTGTGGTTAGAAGGATCAGTATGCAGTAGATCCCGTACATACCACTGTATGCCTTACCTATGATTTAATTGGGTCAATGTTTATCTTTTATGTTTTTTTTATTAGCTACTTTAGTATATTATGGGTATCGAATTACAATGGACCTATCCTACAAATTAGTTATTAAAACAGAGCTATTAAAACGTTTTAGGACGGTTGACTTTCTTAAGACTCATGCGAAACTTGAAAGGAAATTCTTATTTGGACACAGAAAGGTCTAATTTACCTAATTGTTGCATCATATGGGACAAATCTACCCACAGATCCCTATACTGTCCCAATCTGCTGGCAGGATCCTCAGAATTCAGAGCTTCATGTAAACTGTCGGCCAACCATTTGGCAACCCTGCCTTTGGCGGTGCAGTTTATAAACCAAAGACTGCAAAGGCCGTTCAACATCGCCAAAATATGGTAGTAACCGAAAGTATGCCACAGAAGCATATCGGCTTGCAAGTAGTATTGTGCAAGCATGATTACAACGCCAAGGATCCAGGAAAATACGCATAAAGAGTATGTTATTATAGTGAGGTTTTTAAATATTATTGGCCTGCCTATCACTTTGTAGTACTTATACTAAAACAATAATAATCATAAATATTAATAAATATAATCCATAATGGCATAAAATTGTTACTCATGTCAATAATCTGAGTTATATCAATCATAGTAAGTTGGTTGGTTATCCTAGTTAACAGAAAATTGAATAATAACCCCTGCTTAGAATATTTCTAGAGCAAAACAACTATTAGCTGTTCGGTCATGAACTTGAAATATGTTAATGCCAATATCTGCCACTTCAGACCACCATGCAAACCTGAACGTACCATTACAACATCAATGAATAAAGGCAAATTTTGCAAAACAAATAACTGCATATTTAAGACATAGTAGAAATTCATGCAATAAAGGAAAGTTAAATATATTAAAACCCTTAATTTTTAATAAAATAGCTACAGATCAGTGTAATTAACAGGGCGGATAGTACAAATCATTATAAGGCAAGAAAGTGAATGCGTAATATACAAGAGGAATGTATAATTATAATTAACAATTATATTAAAATTAGACATGTTCATTAAAATATTTTCTTAATTGCGACGGCACCATGGTGCACTTGATTCCAAGAACATGACGTATATCGTACAACTAAACAAATATTAATACCAAAATCTTCTTTATCAAAACATTGCAAATTTTTTTATCAGGGTTAAAAAATACTACTTTCCAAACCAGTACTAAAAATATTTTATACCTGAAATCTTGTCCACATATTCTTAAATTTAGCCACTTCATTGCCGTTTGTCCATGCCAATATGGGCAGTGAAAAATGCGGTACCAAAATACTCAAAAAAATAATGCTATAAATATATTCGTCAAATCTTTTACCGCCTTGTAAAATCAAATTAAGGCGTTCTCGAAAAATTATAATCACGAAAATGGATTCTATGGTGAAAATAAACATCGCCCATATGGTGACTGGTGAAAACCATCTAAAAAATTACATTAAAAATTTTTTTTTCTATGTCTACCAGACATTGTCTAGTAGTGTCAAGTAGAGTTCCAATTTTTTTTGGGACTGCTGCCTATTGTGATAATTTTAAGAAAACCTTTAGTGAAAAAATATCAAATTCTTAACCTGAAAATGGTCCTTTCTGGCATGGTCCTAGGGGCCCGTTCTATGGGCATGATTCCCATGATTTGAAACAGTACCAGCAAACTTTTGGTCGTATGATAAAAATTGTCGTAATAATCAAGAGTTTCAGGTTCAGGGTTATTTTTATCATTTTCTTTTGGCGTAGCTGCCACATCTACCACTTCAATTCTTTTTGCTTCTTTGTAAATGCCTTGTTGTTGCGGGTTTCTAGCTCTCAAAAAATTGTTACGTTGTGCTTGAGGGGGGTAGGGACTGTCTACACCGTGTCTCACGTAACTGTTCATGGTGTTTCTAAAAAACTAAATCATAAAATAATAAGATTAATTTCTTATTATTTTATTGATTAATCATGTGTATGCAGTATCGGTTTTAGAACATTTTTATATTAAAATAATATTTTGAAATAGTATTCAAAGACTCAAATATGCCTGCCAAACCGGCCCTGCACATATAAACATATTTATGTACATATCCACCTGTAGATAATTTATGCACCCGAACAAAACACATTTAATTGAAACAAATGAGCATTATTTATCACATCTGGCGCGATACTGATCGAATTTTCCGAATTTCCATAATTCGTTACTATCTGACAACATTGCGTGATCCGAGCCATTAAAAGAGGTGTTTTAAAAAATGCATCGCGATTAATTGTTTCGGTGTTCTCTAATGGCATCGACAATCAATCATTATTTTAATTGGTATGGCATATTTTCCCATGGCACGCCCTTAATTAGAAGGTTAATGACAAGTTTTTTTGCTATCGAATAGGTTTTACTAAAATTTACCCTTTTATTATTATTAGTTCGTTCAAGTCTAAGCCCTAAGAAAAACACAATTTTTGTACAAAACTAATTTTATTTATTAAATGAAATCTTCATCAAGTTTTATAATGGATTTTCTCAAGTCTAAATATAGGCATTGATTTTCCATTTGACTTTTTTATTTAAGTAAAATTTTTCAAGCGAACCATTTTTTAGATTTAAGAATATGTAATAGAAGTGTGGACAAGATCTGGCGAAGAAGGTGGATGCCGAGCAATTCCTAGCCCAATTCCTTGATTTTTTTAGCTTTTTAGCTGGGAAATTGTATTGAAGAAAAAGGATTTTGGTTTTTGATCTTTATTCTTATTATTTGATTAGATTTGGACTTTAGACGACACCAGCACTTTTAGCACTTAATTGAGTTGATGTACTGACTTTTATTCTTATCAATATCATTGGCACTAATTTCAATCATGAATTGCCTAAATATTTTCGTTTTCTTTGTGATTTTGATGTTGGTATATATTTGAACCCACTTTCAGGACCAAATGGCTAGGATAAAAAGTCTTCCTGAACTTATAACGTTACCATGACTAAGCTCTCTAAAAATGAATTAGTCAAAAATGACTAATTTAATAGTTATTAGTGGCTGCTTTTTCACTTGTACCATGGTTAACCATGGAATACCATGGTATTCCAAAACTAAACAGCCAATTCTTATGTAAAATTGTTCCCTGAATCCGAAAATATCGTCAAAAATTATGAAAGTGGAGCAGTTTTTGAGATAAAGTCAATTCCATATTAAATGGAAAATTTACTATATCTCAAAAACTGTTGTACTTTTTTAACTTTTGACGGTATTTTCGGATTCAGGGGACAATTTTACATAAGAATTGTCAGTTAAATTTGGGGTACCATGGTATTCCATGGTACAAGTAAAAAAGCAGCCACTAATAACTATTAAATTAGTCATTTTTGACTAATTCATTTTTAGAGAGAGTATTTACTACTTACACATACCCACATGTATTATAATAATTTTATCTAGTTACCATTTATTAGATAATTAGCAATAAATTTCACCACCGGAGCCTCACACTTATTTATGAAGTTAAACTGGGATTTACTGAACGAAGAACTGGATTTACCGCAGTCCGCAGTATCAAAGGATAAGACAAGAAGTTTACTTTAAGAAGTTTACTTCAAAAAGTTTACTTCAAGAAGTTTACTTCAAAAAGTTTACTTCAAGAAGTTTACTTAAAAAAGTTTACTGAAGCGCATAATGTATTATTAATAATTATAATAATGTATATAATAATATGAAATACGAACCAAATTTCATTGGCGGATATAAGTAAAATACTAAAATTGAACGGTATTGTATAGGGGGCAAAATTTGCCAAGTGTACCAGGTGAAAAAAATTTTGTCACCGATTTTGTTTAAACTTTACTTATTTGTTGTTATTATAACGAAGAATCATAGCATAAAATTTTTTTGCTCTAGGATTGTTCATTCAAGAGTTATGGATTATTGAAATTTATCGATTTTTTACTTTTTGGTGAAATCGCTTTTTATTTAAAAATTCATAACTTCTGTTCATCTCTTTATTAAATATTTCAATTTAACCACCTTAAATGATTTTTTCCGTACTTTTCAATGGGCTATACCGTTTTTGCAAAAAAATAAAAATTGCAATTTTTTTTGAAATTTTGCAAAATTTTGCATTTTTTGAAACAATGTGTATTTTTTAATTTTTTTTAAAATAGCATAAAATCCAAGTTTATTATGTTACCTTTGAATAAAAAAAAATTTAGAGTGGGCCCGACATGTAGAAGGAAAGTTTTTCATATTTGAATGCGTGCGGGTCTAGCCATCGAATAGCTACTACACTGCCTTATGCGTTTATACCTAGTAGATGCGAGTAAACGAATACAAAATGATAATTTAAAATGTAAAATTATGTTTGAGTAGTCAATAATGTATTTTAAATATTTACACTGCCGCACGATATAGTTTTTTTTATTGTGTATTAGTCCTTCGGTCCGTTCCTACCCCTAACCCGCACAAGCCATTCAGCTGGCTTATGGGACTTCTTAAGAAGTAAGGGTGGAACTAAAAGAGCACTTTTATATATAAACTGTATTTTTTTGCACAAATTGTTTAAGCATGGGTCTACATAGATTTCGCAAGGAGGGTCGATGATATTAAATAAAAAATGTATTGTTATAACCGTAAAGGCGCCATTCAGCTTATAGGCAAGCCGTTACGGTTATGACAATAAATTTTTTATTTAATATCATCGATCCTCCTTGCGAAATCTATGTAGACCCGTGCTTAAACAATTTGTGCAAAAAAATACAGTTAAAAAACTATATCGTGCGGCAGTGTAAATATTTAAAATACATCATTGACTACTCAAACATAATTTTACATTTTAAATTATCATTTTGTATTCGTTTACTCGCATCTACTAGGTATAAACGCATACGGCAGTGTAGTAGCTATTCGATGGCTAGACCGTGCGGCATTCAAATATGAAAAACTTCCCTTCTACATGTCGGGCCCACTCTAATTTTTTTTTTTATTCAAAGGTAACATAATAAACTTGGATTTTATGCTATTTTAAAAAAAAATTAAAAAATACACATTGTTTAAAAAAATGCAAAATTTTGCAAAATTTCAAAAAAAAATTGCAATTTTTATTTTTTTGCAAAAACGGTATAGCCCATTGAAAAGTACGGAAAAAATCATTTAAGGTGGTTAAATTGAAATATTTAATAAAGAGATGAACAGAAGTTATGAATTTTTAAATAAAAAGCGATTTCACCAAAAAGTAAAAAATCGATAAATTTCAATAATCCATAACTCTTGAATGAACAATCCTAGAGCAAAAAAAATTTATGTTATGATTCTTCATTATAAGAACAACAAATAAGTAAAGTTTAAACAAAATCGGTGACAAAAATTTTTTCACCTGGTATACCTGTATACACTTGGTAAATTTTGCCCCATATACCGAAATGTGTCCAATTGGTTACATTTTAAACACATCCAAAATACTCACTTGTGAGTACTGCGTGTTAAACACGGTTTTCACTTTTTGTTTTAATTTTAGTCATTTTTTATTTTAATTTTATATCAACCAACTACCTATCTACCATGACACAATTTAGACACAAATTGGAACTTAATGCTCCCGCCCCACACATTGTTTAAACAAATCAGATACCATGAATCTAAAATTTAGCTAAATGAGAACTTTTGCGTCCACTTGACTCCATTTGTAAGGTACAATATGGAAACATTGAGTCAACTAAGTCAACTAAGTGTCGACCCTAGAGTCCGAATTGTGTAACTGTTTCCAAGAGGACACAAAAGCGGCGCAAATTCGGCACATATTTATAAAATTGCTACTTAGACCCATACTTTTTTGGACACAATTGGTCTAAAAGCAGACACAAATTTGTAGAATGGACACAATTTCCATTCAGACGTAAGTTTTCCGATTGGTGTCGAATCAATCTGGAAACAAAAAGAATCGTGCCCAAGGCACACATTGCTGCTTGGGTATTGAACGATCTAGTACAGATATGAAGATTTAGAAACAAAAAATGTTGTAAAACTCAACTGCAGACTTTTACTAAGCTTTACCCTACATATTTTTCTTGTTTTCAGGTTGATAGCAGCTTTTATATTGATTAATGTATGCAACATGGAAGAAGTACACAAGAAAATCAAGAAATATCCACTTCAAGTAAGTATTTATCAATCGAATCAAAAGAAAAAAATCGTGTTTGTCTAAAAATTAAATCGAACCTCCTAATTTAATTGTCAAAAATGTAATCGATCAATCTTAGCGGGTCGCGCAACCTAATCAATTTATAATTGACCATGTCAGATAAGGCATCAAGACCTGTCGCGATTACAATAACAAAATTAATTATTTGACTGGCTCAATTCCATTTGTAACTTTTGTCTATTAAAGTAAACCAGGAGCAGACCGACAAAGAACGAGGATATAAATGATACATTCCAATGTTTAAAAGCCTTACTTAGATCGCCGAGATTGCATTTTGGAGAAGGAAAAGGAGATTGTCGATAATTTTAATTTAAGGACAAATGCCAATAGATACAATACAATTGATAAAATTAAGATTTGAGTTGTCTCGTTTTGATCTATATTTAGTTCAGTTAAGGTTATGAAATGTTTTAAACATGATGTCTTGTGAGATCTGAAGAAACCATGTTAAAAAGTAATTGATTTATCGTTGATGAATTATTAATTTCGCGTTGTCTGGACAACTACGTAGATGGATAATATAATTTCAACTAGAAAATCATGAAATTGTATCCAAGGGCGGATGGGCTCCGGTGGGCCGCTATGTCAGATTGGCCGAATGGACATCTAGACTGGCCCAAAAAATTATAAAAACACTTATGAAAATTTCACCCCTTATAATTTCACAAAAAACTTCGTAATTTATATTGGTTTTTTATTTATTTTTTTTACGAAATA